CACTGATGACATCTTGTTAAGACTGAAACATCTTAAATCGTGTGTTTGTTAGGCCCTGTTCGCACTACACTGAAAAATTTGGTTTGGTATTTGCAAAGAAATTGAAAATTTTGCAACAACGAATTTTTGTTTTGGTAATAAGCGTTTGCACTTGGAACGTGCAAATTTTTTGTGTAACCACAAATGTCAATCAATCGAAGTAGTACCGAGATTTCGAGTCAGTGCGTTTTTCTTTTATTTCGTTTCTAGTCAACGACTGATCTCAAAGCAGAATGCCACCGCGAAATGTTTTAATCTCCCTTCGATTCTTTGCTGTTTGCTTGCCATGCTAAACCTGATTGGGGCTAGTCAACAGTTACTTCTGGCTTTGTTGGGTGGGATTCGGCTTTTACCGATGAAGGAGACCTTAACTCAGCTCTTGAACAGACGTCGACACCACAGTCGACCTGTAAAATCCTGGTTTGAAATCGTAACCTCCCTGAAGTCTTTTTCCGTAGACATTGGAAAATGGGAGAGCAACTTATTATGTTCAATCACGAAATATGATGACTAGTTGAAGGGTATCTGTCAAGGAACAAAAGATTTTCTTGCCCGAAAAAAAAATTAAGGCCTCCAAATTTTGTTGACGGCATCTTTGAAGTTTGGGGGCAATTACGAAAATTTTGGTGGGCACAAAAATCGTTCGCACGAAAAATGGTTTCGCGTTGACAGATTTTTTTGCGAAACAAACAACATTTCGCGTAGTGTAAACAGGCCCTTACTGAATTGACATTTTCAGTGAGAACCAGCCATGTATGTTATGAATTTCAAAGCTGTTTTCTTGGGATTTCCCTCTCTGTTTTGAGCCATGTTGGCATATTTTTAGATCACGAGCTTATGATTTCTTTATCAATCTACTGGAGTGATGTCAAAGAAATGGCTAGAGAGTCAGGCGTTGCCATTGTTGCGGAAGAGGGTTCAGTGTGCATGCAACTTTCAAGTTTTCGGCTGCCGATTTCTTTGTGTTAGAAATAATGACCAAACTAAATGTATGGAGTAAATGTTGAATATTTCCTATTCTAGAAGACATACATTGCATGTCTATGTCTACATTTAGATTTTTTTGTTTTTAGATGATCAGCATTTATATGTATTCTAATTATAAATCTCAGATTATGGACTTAATGCATTTTCTTGTATCGTCATTCCTATCAGCTATCTGTCAAANGTAGGCCTTTCCTGAACTACAGTAGTGACTAAAAAAAAACAGTGTTAAAGATATCACTCGACAGCTACATCTGCGTCTATCGGTCTAAAATTTCCATTTTCCTTTATTCAGGAAAATGGACTACAACAAAATTGAGAGGCTTCATGAAGATCAGTTTCAGGGCTTAGTAAATTTGGCCGAATTGTAAGTACACTCAGAGTTTAAACTTTGTCGTAAGATGATCTGTTTCGCAAACCATTTACAGCTCTGGTGAGTGGCTAACGCTCGAAATGTCACCTTTTAAATTATTTACGAGTGCAATTCTATATTATTAACTCAGTTGATAAAACCAAAATCACAGTATTATTGTAATGTTAACTCCGTTATTTCTTAAATACAATGTGCCACACCCACTTGCAATCACAATAAGTTACTGTACGCTGATATTTATCTTTTATTCCTTTCACCCGTTTAAGATATCTCTCAGAAAACAAAATTGAGGCTTTGCCGGACAAAATTTTCAAGGGCGTCGAAAACCTCAAAGCCATGTGAGTACAGTTAATCACAAATTAAAAAAAAACATAATTCTAGGATATTTAAAGCGATGGAAAGAGTATAACAGAAGTATTTAAAATCTGAGATTTTACTTTAAAAATTTTAATATGAAGTAGAATAGACATGGGTACAAAATAACCTACCCATCAAAGTAAATTGTATTGATATCTGTTAGGCTACAAATGTGGCCTTTTATTCACTAAACATACTTTTAGAGAGCAAGTGTGGATATCAGTCAAATGCAAATACAGACATAGTTGAGCAATCCCATGTAAATTTATGACAATGGTAAGAAACTGTCTACCTACTACTTGTAAGTGATTATGTTTTTTATTTCAGCGATATCTTCGGCAATAAGATACAAAACGTTTCCATCACAACTTTCAACTATGCCCACGAACTGCGATTTTTGTAAGTTCACGGCAAATTACAGATGCTTATCTAGGCACCAAAACTTTTCTATTCCTTTTTTATTTATTTATTTTTTTTGAACGGTCTATTTGAACAGTAATAGGTACTTATTGACGAGTTCCGTCGGTCGAGCCGGAAGGAACAATATTTGGCTCCAGAGAGCCAATTATTTCCCAGTCCAGCCCGACCTCACTCTGTCAATAAGCATTTTATCACATGACCTCTGACTAATTGAGTTTTCAAAAATACTAAAAAGTTTGTTTTAACTTAAGGTGG